GCACGGCCCCTGGCCGCGTTCGCCATGGCGGAGAACTGGAAGAACTGCTTCGAGGAGGAGCTCATCTGCCCCATCTGCTTGCACGTCTTCGTGGAGCCCGTGCAGCTGCCCTGCAAGCACAACTTCTGCCGGGGCTGCATCGGCGAGGCGTGGGCCAAGGACAGCGGCCTCGTGCGCTGCCCGGAGTGCAACCAGGCCTACAACCAGAAGCCCGGGCTGGAGAAGAACCTGAAGCTCACCAACATCGTGGAGAAGTTCAACGCGCTGCACGTGGAGAAGCCCCCGGCGGCGCTGCACTGCGTATTCTGCCGCCGCGGGCCCCCGCTGCCCGCGCAGAAGGTCTGCCTGCGCTGCGAGGCGCCCTGCTGCCAGTCCCACGTGCAGACGCACCTGCAGCAGCCCTCTACCGCCCGCGGGCACCTCCTGGTGGAGGCGGACGACGTGCGGGCCTGGAGCTGCCCGCAGCACAACGCCTACCGCCTCTACCACTGCGAGGCCGAGCAGGTGGCCGTGTGCCAGTACTGCTGCTACTACAGCGGCGCGCATCAGGGACACTCGGTCTGCGACGTGGAGATCCGCAGGAACGAGATCCGGGCAAGTACCCCGCACATGCACCGCGTGCGCACACGCTCCCGCCTGACCCCGACCCCGACCCTGACCCTGGGAACACCCATCCCGACTGGCTGACCCTCGGGACTTCAGGCTGGAGGCCCCCTAAACTCTTCTCTGGAAGTTTAGGGTAAGGTCCTGGGAAGAATCGGCCCGGATCGCTTCTGGGCCTGTACCAGCACCTGACCCCCTGGGGTCCCTCTTGGGAATCCGCTGGTGGGCGCGGGCTGGGAACACCCTCAGAGGTGGCTTGGGGGTCGCTTTTCTGACTCGCTCAGCTCCCTTCCCTAGCGTCGTTTCCGTGAGCCCCGAGGAAAGTCGCCGAGGCACTGACCCCGGTGCTGCTCCTCCCGCTGCTGTTTATGTAATGAGTGGCCTGGTGCGGCTCCTGCGGCCGACCCGAGCCGTGGTACTGGCATACCAATGAGGAAGTAAACAAAAGCAGCCATGTTCGCTTTAAGCTCCACAAGAAACACTTGGTGCAAGGGCTGCTTGTGGAAGAGTCCTGCTTCTGCTGTCTTAGGGCCGGCGTCTCCCGTCTGTGGGTCAGACCCGGCAGCCCGCTCCGTGTTCCTAGCGAACAAACCTTAAAAGTACTCGTTCTCCTCGCCCGGGGTCCGCACTCCCAGGGGCAGCGCGCAGCCCTCCCACCTTTTGGGAGGGAGGAGGAAGGGGGGAAGGAGCCTGTGGGTTTAAGGTGGAGCTGCCTTGCAGTCCGGTTCCAGGCAGCTGGCTCCCCTGGGCGGCTGGCTGAGTGACGCTGGAACCGCACCCCCTCCCTTTGTATACACCCTGCAGCGCAGCCAATGTCAAAACCGCCTCCCCTGTCTGGCCCCTGGGCCTGGCTTGGAGCTGGGTGAGGCTACACTTCCGCCGCTCTTTTTTTCTTCTCTGTTTTTTTGGTTTGGTTTTTTTTGAGTTAGAGACTTGCTGTGTAATTCGTGCTGGCCTTGAGCTCACTGTGTAGCCTAAGCTGGCCTTGATCTTGCCGCAATCCTCCTGTCTCAGCCTTCTGACCCTCCCCTTTTGGTTTTTGGTGGAGGGCTCTTCTTCCGCCCCTCCCCAGTCCCTGGCCTGGGGTTGAGTCACACCAGAAGGAAGGGGTTGGCATGAGTCCAAGTGAGTGAGCCATTTCTGAAGCGCCAATGCAGAGCCGGGTGTGACTTGGGGCCCAGGTTGGGTGAGGAGGGACTGAGAATGTTTATGGGTGGGGGACAGTGGAGGCCAGTGCAAGGCTGAGTACGAGGAAACTGAGCAGGGCACCATGGAGATAGGGGCTGTTTCCCGGGGGGCCGGCCAAGAGTGAGTCACTGTTCAGCAATTAGACATCGGTGACCCACCAGAAGGCCAGAGGGCCACCACTGGCTGTGGGCAGGGTTAGCAAATCAAATTTGCTGTATAATTAGTTTGCAGTCCAGTGGGCCGGCTCTGGGGTTTTGTGCCAGCAGAGGCCTGCGGTTTCTCAACAAAAGTATGGGGGCTGGAGAGAGGACCCCTCCCTTAGCAGGAAGCGGCTGCTGTGCAGGGGGTTGTCCAGTTAGTTCTCTGGCCTGGGACTGGCAGTGGGAAGTGAGAGGGGAGGGCAGTGACTGCTGGAGATGTCTGTAGTGACCGGAAGAAAAGGGACCTGTATGGCTTGGCAGGAGGAGGGAGGCCGCAGGTGTGTTCCAGTTACCTTCAAGGGGACCTGTCTCCTGTCTGGAGCACTGGGGCTTGGGGTGGCTCTTGTTTGCTGTCTCCTCTGCAGGTCTGAATGGAAACAGCCACCGAACTTTGTCAGCAACTTTGTGTGTGTGTGTGCGCGCGCGCGTGCGTGTGCATGTGTGCACACACACCACACGTGCCTGGTGTGAGCTGGCTCAGGAGTCGTGGTTGTATCAAGGCCAGATAAGCAGATCTGTCCGCTCAGCATCTGTGCCACCCTTCAGGCAGGCACTTGACCCTCCCTTCTCTGCAGTGCCCCAGGGCCCTGGGATTGGGAGCCGTTGGTCCTCATTGTCCCTCCAGGGAGTTTGACTACTAATGTGGAGGCCTAGAGGCTGCCGTGGCAGCCAGAGTGAGCCTGAGCCTAAGCCTGGAAAATCACAAACCCAGCCTCCTCTCTCCAGGCCCTGGCCCTATGGCCCTTGCTAGTGGGACCATCTTACGGCACCTTTGCTGCTACCCTAGATGAAGGCAGCAGGCTGCTCCAGGACACCAGTAGGGAACAGAGACCAGGCAAGGCCTGAAAGTCTAGGTCGGTTTCCCTCCCTGTCCTCCCAGGGGCTGCAGATGAGCTGGATCCATTGGCTAGAAATCCCCTTCCCAGGGTCAGAGCCTCAACCCTATGCACAGTCATTGGCCTGAAGGCAGGGGGTGGTACTGGGGGGCAGACAGGCCTCGCCTGCGCCTGCAGGTCGTGGTGTGCCTCTGTGCCCTGGGAAAATCAGCATGTCAGCCACATGGCAAGCACCCTGATTGGCTCTAAACTGCTCTCTGGGACATGCCTAGACCCTTCGTTTGTTCCCCCCATGGGGCTGAGGGGGACCTGGGGCCCATGATTGGGGCATCCAGATAGGCAGAGGTCTGGTACCCCTGGGCAAGCCCTCTTCTAGACCCAGGGTCAGAGATTCTTCTGGATAACAAGGCAAGGGCCATGCGTGTGTGCATGCATGCGCACACACACGTGTGTGTGTGTAGGAGAGGTACAAGGAGTTTGAGGACAAGGCCTGGCTTGGCCTAATCCCACAGAGGAGCCTCTGGCAGAGGCCCTGCCTCACCTCCTTGTGCGTCCTGCAGACCGGTGGGAGCCTGTCATGCTGTCCTGTTGAGGACTGCTTTCCGTAGTTCCAGGAGCTCTGTCATTGTGTATGTGTGCACGTCGCGTCTCACGTGTGACTCAGGGTCCATACCCTGCACACGCATCTTTGCAAGGGCACAGTGTGCCTGGCTAGCTCCATGGTGGCCCTGATTGTGTGTGGTGGTTGCGCACATGCTGCCCAGGTACCTGCACAGGGAAGCTGAGCGTGACTTCACTGCTGTGAACCTGACCGCTGTATGCTGTAGTGCAAGTGCTGTGCGAGAGGCCTCTCTCTTGTGGTAGGGTGTTGGGAGATGGGGCTCTCCTTAGGCTAGACCACCAAGGCCTGTACTGGTTTGTGCAGTGCTGTGGGGGCCCCTGCCCTGGGCTGAGCCAGGCTGGCGGGGTCCCTGGCCCTGAGAACCCTTCCTCCCCGGCTGGCCTGGCATTCAAGCCCAGACAAAGGGGGGCTTTCTCTCTCGCTCCTCTTTGTTCTGCTGCCCCAGAGCGCTGCTCTCTGCATGGCAAAAGCTAATTCCACTCTGCAGCTGGGAAGCCCAGGATGGGGGCTGCGCTGCAGAGTGCTATCTGTTGCCTCATCAGCCCTCTTGCACTGACTGCCCCACCGGGGTTCGCTTGGTACCCCCGAGCAGGCAGAGAGGGAAAGGGAGAGTGACATGGGTCATGAGGCCCTGGGACAGAGCATTGGGATGGCAGCCTCACCTGGGGCTGGGACCCAGCTGGAGCTGTGGAGAAGTCAGCAGTCCAGCCCCTGTACCTCTCCTCCATTCCTGCCCATCCTGGGGCTGCCCCACCTCGGCCTTGAGCCCGATCCCTCCTGACCTTGCCTCTGCAAGGTTGACTTGTGGGTTTTGTCATTATTTATTAACTTATATAGCCCAGAGTCCCCGTGCCTCATCTGTCTGCCTGGGCCAGGCGCCATGGAGAGCTGAGGTTTGCCAGGGCAGGAGTGAGTCCTTAGGCTGACCCCTGTCCAGGGTGGGAGGGCTGCTCTGGGACAAGTCTGTGTGCCAGCCCTGGCCCAGGTGGGCTGTGTCAGATGCTTTTGTCTCTGGCCCAGGAGGGGCCCCAGAAAGGCCTGAACCTGAGGGCAGGTCCCACCTGGCAGGTCCTCACCCCCATGCCCTTGAGCTGAGGCTCACCCAGGTGCTCCCTTCTGCCCGGCCCCTCAGGAGGCCTAGATCCAAGTGGGGGCCTGGGAAAGGTGGGCCCACCTCAGCTGTGGGGCTTCTCCAAGGTGGGAAATAGAATTCCCTGGGGAGGCAGGTGGGACTTGCATGAGGAGGCTGCTGGGCCGGGGAGAATGTGCAGGACCTGCTCCTGGCTCCTGGACGCCACCAACCCGATGCCTCCCTCCATGGGGTAGAGAAAGAGCAGCACCCCCCCCCAAAGCGGGCCTTAGCAAGTTTCAGGTGGCCTTTAGGGGCAGTGAGCCTGGCCAGCTCTGCTTCCTGCCCGCTCTCCAGCTTTGCAGCAGAGGGCAGCTCTGTAATCTCAAGATGGGAGAGGAGAGACCACCTCCCCACATTTGTGGGACCCTCAGAGGGTCCCAGGACACTGAGGCTAAGTAGACACCTAGGGCTCCCAAGATAGAAGGGAGGCCCAGCAGTGCGTGGAAGAGGAAAGGCACCTGACAGCCGGAGTCCTGCCCCTGCCCCTCAGAGGCTTTAGTGGGAGGTGGGGAGCCTGTGCCCCACCTTTGTTGGCCCCCACCCAGGATGCAGCTGCAGCCCTAGTTGGTACCAGTGGGTGTGTTGTCAGGAAGTGGACTGGGACAGCTGGTAAGCCCTGGGCTCCGAGGGTCCCGTGGGTCCTTGTCCTCTTGAGCATGTGAGGGTGTCGGGCAGCAAGCAGTCAGGTGTTTGAGGACAGCACAGTGTAGTGGGATGCACCTTTAATCCTAGCACTTAGGAAGCTGAGGTGGGAAGAAGCAAGTGTGAGGACCCTGTCTCAAAACAAAACAGAAGTTTGAGGAGGGTTGTTAAACAGGTTAGACAGGTGGAAGGGGAAGGCCTGGGGTTTGAAGGCATGGCAGAGCTGAGGTTGTGGGCAGGGCTCGGGCTCGGCTCCCCATTTAGAACAGAACCCCTGCCCTCTGCTGCGTGATTTGGGCTCTGGCTAGTCTTTGTTTTTTAAATCTTTCAGGGTTGTTTTTTTTTTTTTTTTTTAAATATTTATTTATTTATTTATTTTGTGTGTGTGTGGCCAGCTCAGCCCACCAGGGGGCGGGCTGGCTGGCATGTGGTGCTGGGGGATTGCACTGTGGTCCCTGTGCTTTGCGTAGCTTAGCTTGTTCTAAGTAGGTGCTTTAGACCACTGAGCCATCTCACCAGCCCCTGGCTAAAGTCTTGCTGGTGTTAATGCCTCTGTGTGTAGAATTGGTTTGAAGCAAGAGGAGGGCACTGCTGGCAGCTTGGCAGTGGGAAGCCAGCTGGCTGAGGTCCCCACAGGGAGCCATGAGCCCCTCCCCACCAAGCGGATGTTGCGAAGGGTGAGTGAGTGAGGCAGGCAGGAGGCTTGCACAGCAGCCCTGGTCTGCTCAGCGAGTAAACAGTTTGGTGAGGTTGGGTTGTGAAGGGCGGCGGGGAAATCGGTGTTGAGGCCCAGGGAGAGGTCACACCACGGTGCTGAGGCTGCGGAGATAGTTCGGTGGTGCGGCGCCAGCCAGGCAAGTGCAAGGTCCTAAGTTCTATTCCCAGTACCACAAAAGGATCCAGCATGCCGCACCCACTTAGAACTAATGAGCGGTGCAGCTTCTCACATCCATGGCATCCTGTGCCAGCCGCGCAGAGCTGCCCGGCATCAGAATCCAGGCAGGCGCAGCTGAAGAGCTAAAGTTAAGCTTAGTTTAACACTAGCTCAAACAGCGGCTTGTGCTCAGTGGTTTCCCTACCTGATGGGCCAACACAGTGAGACGGTGGACAGAAGGTGACAGCCCACCTCACGGCCAGGCAGGGCCAGGACAGGGAGGGTGGTGCAAGCTGGAAGTGGGGTGCATAGAGGGTTGCTGTAGTTGGGTGCTGAGGGGAGGGAAGTGAAGGGGAGAGGGCTCTGGAGGCAGAAAGCACCCACAGGGTGCCTGCACTGCACACCTGGGCAGCACATCTGCCTGTCTGGCTGAAGCACTCAAAAGTGTGACACTCTGGAGTGTTCTTGAGCAAGGGAGAGACCCCGCTGGAGGAGGTGTGCAGGAGCAGGCCTCGCACAGACAGGAGGGCGTTGGAGGAGAGGCGAGTGAGCGCTGAGGTGCTGAGGCAGCTCCGCGTGATGCCTTGGGCTCGGGCTGGGCTTGGCTCTCAGCGCGAACTTCCTGCCTGTGTCTTGCTGAGGGAGCTCCAGAGGACCCCGGGGGCAAGGCATAGCCTCAGGGTGGCTTTGGACTGAGTCCAAGGGCCCGTGTTGCTGGGAAGACTATTGGACCCTCTGCTCTCGGGCTTTCCCCTCTAAGATGGTCCTGGCATGGTTAAGAACAGGGCCTGCTGCCAGCTCACCTGGCCTGGGGCCGCTTATTGGCGGTGTGGCTTTGTGCACAGCCTCTCTGGGTCTTTTCTGTACATGAGGGTCACACTAGAACGTCCTGCGTTGTGTTACTGAGATGATGTGTGTCTAAGAAAAGGGTTTGGACAAGCCCGCCCTCAGAAAGCTCAGGATATAAATGTGCTGGGAGCAGGCTGGCTCCACAGCTGTTGGTAGGCCCTGAGACTGCATAGGGCCAGAAGTGGCTGACTGGGCTGAAGGACAGGCTGTGGCCGGTACCCTAACGGCCCGAACCCCTTGTCCCTGCAGAAGGTGCTCATGAAGCAGCAGGACCGGCTGGAGGAGCGGGCACAGGACATCGAGGACCAGCTCTACAAGCTTGAGTCTGACAAGCGCCTGGTGGAGGTAGTGAGGGCCTGGGCCTGGGCTGGAGGTGGCTGCGTGTTGCTTGGTGGCCTTCCCCAGGGTGAGCCTGCCTGCTCGGGTCCCCACTCACCTGCCCCTCGACCTGCCCGCCACCTGCAGGAGAAGGTGAGTCAGCTGAAGGAGGAGGTGCGGCTGCAGTACGAGAAGCTGCACCAGCTGTTGGATGAGGATCTGCGGCAGACGGTGGAGGCGCTGGACAAGGCCCAGGCCAAGTTCTGCAGCGAGAATGCGGCGCAAGCGCTGCAGCTTGGCGAGCACATGCAGGAGGCCAAGAAGCTGCTCGGCTCCTTGCAGCTGCTCTTTGATAAGACGGAGGATGTGAGCTTCATGAAGGTTAGTGCTGGGCCGCGCCGCGGGTCTTGCCCACTGTGCCCGCCTCCTCCCTGGCTCAGCCCGAGAGCCATAGGTGCTCCCTGCGCTGTAACCCCACTTGTGAAATGGGGCGCCTGATACAGGGCTGCTGTCCTGTGTGTACTATTTGAGAGAGACCTTAGAATGTCTGGGAATGGCAGAAACAAACCTGGGCAGCTCATTCAGCAGCAGAAGCTGAGCAGAACTGAGGGTGGCTGGCTGTCGCTCTGCGTCTGTGTGGAAACATGAACATCTTGCGGCAGGAGTGTTTGTCGATCCCAGTGTCCTGCTGGGGTGATAAATAAGTCTAGTGCGCTGTCTGTTGTGCTACAGAGCCAGACTGGGGTGAAAAGTAAGAAGTGATGTAGGACCATCTTTCCCTTCTAAGGTCTAAAACGTTTCAAGTTTCCAAACATGCCTGGCCCCAGCCACTTCAGATGAAAGGTGAGGGCCCCGTGGAGCCCAGCGTCTGAGCTGCTCAGATGAAATAACAGCTGTGACGTACTTGCAGTGGCATGGGGCAGGTAGTGTTCAAAAAATCGCTGTTCTGGTTCCCAAAAATGGGATCCCTCTGCTCTCCCTTGCCTGGGGAAACAGAAGGCAGGTGGCTTCTGCCTGCCCTTCCCCTCTGCTGACCCTTTTCTCTCCCTGCAGAACACCAAGTCCGTGAAGATCCTGATGGACAGGTGAGCAGGTGCCCCCCGCCTTGGCTTGCACTCACTGGGCTGGGACCGGCCAGGGCCAGGCCTCGGGTTGGGGCGGGCTCACTGGTGGCACCTCCTCACAGCAGCCGCCCCGCTCACTGCCCCCAGGACCCAGACCTGCGCGGGCAGCAGCCTGTCTCCCCCTAAGATTGGCCACCTGAACTCCAAGCTTTTTCTCAATGAGGTAGCTAAGAAGGAGAAACAGCTGCGGAAGATGCTGGAAGGTGAGGGCGGGGTCCCTGTGGAAGCAAGAGCTTGCCTTGGGTTTGGATGAAGGTCCCCAGGGTGGCCTTGCTGGACTTTGCTTCGCGTCCCAGTCTAGCCTCTTCTAGCGCTGGGACCCTGGACAGGTGCTGTTGCCTCCCTGAGCCTCCGTGTCCGAGCCTGAAGATGGGATGGTGGTCTCTACCTCCCGGGGGTGGGGGGGAGCTCTAGGCAGTGTGGCCCACCCATGTTGGGTCCTATAGGTGCGGGAAGTCCCCAGGGTGGAGGCTTGGTTGCTGGGGCAGCGAGCTTTGGTGACCTTTCCTTGCCCTCTTCGCAGGCCCCTTCAGCACCCCAGTGCCCTTCCTGCAGAGCGTTCCCCTGTACCCCTGCGGTGCCAGCAGCTCTGGGGCGGAGAAGCGCAAGCATTCGACGGCCTTCCCCGAGGCCAGTTTCCTAGAGACGTCTTCGGGCTCTGTGGGCAGCCAGTACGGGGCAGCAGGCACAGCCAGCGGTGAAGGCCCGGCCGGGCAGCCCCTGGGGCCCTGCAGCTCCACGCAGCACTTGGTGGCCCTGCCAGGTGGCGCGCAGCCGGTGCACTCCAGCCCCGTGTTCCCCCCATCGCAGTACCCCAACGGCTCTGCCGCCCAGCAGCCCATGCTCCCGCAGTATGGCGGCCGCAAGATTCTCGTCTGCTCTGTGGACAACTGTTACTGTTCTTCCGTGGCCAACCATGGCGGCCACCAGCCCTACCAACGCTCCGGCCATTTCCCCTGGACCGTGCCCTCACAGGAGTACTCCCATCCGCTGCCACCCGCACCCTCCGTGCCCCAGTCCCTCCCTGGCCTGGCTGTCAGAGACTGGCTCGACGCTTCCCAGCAGCCTGGACACCAGGATTTCTACAGGGTGTATGGGCAGCCGTCCACCAAACACTATGTGGCCAGCTAACGCCACACCATGGGCAGCGGACACTGGGGACCCTCCCCTGCCCCAGTGGCTTGGGAATGGCGTGTTGAGACCTGCCCTCCCACCCCTTCTTCACTCCACTCCCCCAGAGCTTTTCCTTCTGGATTTTGTTTGGGCCTTTGTTTTTGACTTTTTTTAAATCATGAATCTCCTGAACACGGAAGTGGCAGTGGGAGCTGACCTGGGCCAGGGCCACAGGTGGCCCTAGATTTGGGAAATGTCCAGCTGACAGTGCCACGCTCTCCTGCTGTCTCCCCTTTCCTGCCCCCCCCAGACACACCCCTGGGGCTGGAAGGAACCTCAGTTTGCCCTAAAGCCCCAGGCACCCGCCCTCTTCACCTGCCTGGAGCAAGGTCTGATGCCCACTGGCCTGCTTCTCCTGCCTGTTTTTCTTTTGGGCAGTTTGATCACTGATTGAGTAAGGGATGACCTATAGATTGTGGGAGTTTTGGTTCTGTTTTTTAAAAATTTTTTTAAAGCCAAGAATGATTTCTCTTTTTCCTCACCATCTTCCCAGACAGAAGTCAAAGGCTACTTCTCAAGCACCTTTCGGCACCTTCAGCCGCAAAGTGGAATCTACAGATGGGAGCCTCATGTCCAGGAAAGGGGAAAAGGGACTTTGCCAATGATAGCGACCACAGCAAAAGCAAATAATAATATTAATAATAATAAAGAGAAATAAATAATAAAATAAAAACAATAGCACAGTCCTCGCTGAGGTCCGTGGAGGAGGGGCTGCCCAAGTTGGGTCCCTGCCCGGAGTCGGATGCAGCCCCTTCCTGTAGCGAGCACATTGGATGGACCGCGGACTTCCTGCTCTCAAGGCGCAGGCGTTGTGTAATGTCTAGAGCACACACTGAAATCCAACCTTCTAATAAATACCATGGCGCAGTGTTCTCCCTTTCTCCTAGTCCAGCCTGCCCTGAGGACAAGAGCCCCTCCTCCCTTCTGGGTCTAGAGGATTCCAGGCCTGTAAATGTCGACTCCTCAAGGACTGACTGACTGCTACCTCTACTCTTGACCTCGGCTTCACTTCACAAATATTTGCTGAAGGTCTCCCAGGCCAGGCCCTCCGCTGCACCTCTGGGCTTCTGCCAGTGCACTGTTAGCTCAGCTAGATGGAGGAGAGATGCCTGTAAGTTGCAAAGTTCACCGTAAATATCTAATTCAGCACATACTAAGTGCCTAGCACCACAGGGCTGCAGGCTTAGAGGCAGAGGCAGAACAGCTCCTCCCCCACCCCAGTGCTTCCCAGGAGAGGTAGGCTGGGTGCAGATGAAGATCCTTCCCATCCTAGCAGTCCTTCAGAACCTCAGGCATGACAAGACTCCTGGCTCTTGCTTAGCTCCAGTGGGAGGGAGCTGCAGTCCTAACTCCTGCAGGTTCTGACATCCTGGAAGTCAAAGCATTGCCCTAAGAGGAGCTCACCCGAGAGGTAGAGCAGGGAGGCCAGGACCCTGTGCACGCTGTGGGGCCCTGCGCCCGGGTAGCAGTCTGCTGGACTGAGGGGCATTGGTCTTTTTGAGGTGGTCTCACTTTTTTCCCAGGCTAGTCATGAACTCGCAACAACCCTCCTGCCACAGGCTTCCGGGTGCCGGGACTGCAGCACGCACCACCATGCTAGGCTTCCCTGTCCCTTTTTAATTCTGAGATGGTCCTGCTAAGTTGTTGAGGTGGGGCTTCAGCTTGTGCGAGCGCACATCTGCCAGGCGAGTCCATGTATTCTGAGGCACAACTTCTGTGGGGGCCCCTTTCCCTTTGAGCGGACCACCTTTGAGAGGTGGGGGGCCTTTGGTTTGAATCCCTTGCCAGTGGCCTAGGACCCAACACTCCCCAGCCACCCCTTCAGAAAAAATACAAGTGTCAGGGAAGCCAGGCCAATGGATCAAAGCCTCCATCTGCACCCAGAAAAGAGCAGTTGTGCCTCGGTAGCCTCCCGGGTCACGTGAGAACTGGAGCCAGGGCCCAGAGGGTGGCGGCAGCCTCCCGGGCTATACCCTACACCTGTCTGGGGTGAAAGGAGGGGCAGGTGGCAGAATGGGGTGGCTGCCCTGCAGCCTGGGAAGGGAGGACACGGGGTGGGGCGGGCGCTGAGGCAGGCTGGGCTCACACATCTGCTGCCTCTCCGGCCTTCCCTCCAGACTGTCATGAGTCCTGGACATTAACCATACCAAGAGCTGGGAGCCAAGACAGGAAGCTGCCCAATTTCTTACCCACTTGGCCTAGTTTCGCTCTGGCTGTTTGGAGGGGTCCGGAGAGGAGGCGGGGGCAGGCCCCAACACCGCGCAGCCCCGCAGCCACCCTCACAGTGGCGCTCAGCTTGCAGCTGTAGGCGACGCTGCCGGCTGGGACAGCCAGGGGAGCTGGGAGCCCCTAGCCCCATCCAGCTGTCCCCAGTTACCCAGCTGTCCTTGGCTTTGTTAAAGCAGCTGTCACCCACTCCCAGAAAGTGCCCCCCCAGGTGCCCACCCCACTCCTAGGTCCCCACCGACCTCCCCTCGTAAGGCGGGCGGGGTGCCCACCGCGTGTCCCCACCCGCTGAGGGCGGCGGCTCCCGGGACCCAGATGTGCGGGGCTGCGAGGAGGCCCCGGCCTGCCCCGCCGCCCCGCGCAGCTCCCAGCTGTCCCGGGCGGGCGGCAGCTGCCAAACAGCTGCGGGCGGGGCGGGGCGGGGCGGGGACGGAACCGCCTCCGCGCGGGGAGGGCGACGGCCGCGCGCGGGCGGCGACCCGGGTCCGCGGTAAAGCGCGCCGGGGGGACGCTGAGCCGCGCCTCGGCCTCTGCTCCAGCCCGGGCCCCAGTGCCCCCCAGCGGGGCCCTGTCACTGCGTCACTCCAGAAACCACCACGTCTTCCGGATGGAGCCGGGCGGCCCGCCCCGGCCCCACCCCGCCACGCGCCGGGTCTCCCTGGGGAGTGGGAGGGTGACCTGCAGGGGGCGGGGCGGGGCCGTGGTTGGGGCGTCCCTGGACGTCTGGGGACGTATGTGAGTTTCCCTGGGGCTCTTTATTTTTATTTATTTATTTATTTATTTTTTTTTTTTTTTTTTTTTTTTTTGGCGGAACCGGGAATTGAACTCAGGCGCTTGTGCTTGCCAGGGAAGCGCCTATTCCATTGAGCCATCGCCCCGGAGCTCTTTCTAAATGGCCTCCAGACCTTGGGGCCCAAACTGCTCCTGGCCCACTCTGAGTCCTGGTTCTTTAAGGGGAGAACACTCTGAGGACTCTTAGATGTCCCCACCTGCCACCTTGTGCAGAAATGCTGGGCCAAGGGCCTGAGGCGCAAGTCCTGGGGGAGGGGGACAAGATTCCAGAACCTTCTGTGCTGGCTGGAGTGGGGGCAGAGGCCTGAGCCCAGGGAGAGGCTGCCCCTCGAGCAGCACCCCTTCCTCGCAGCTTCTTTCTTTCCAGTGACATCTCTTCCACATCAGACATCAGAAGTTTTATATATAATTATATATAT